CCTGCAAATATAAACAAAGAATGGGAAATATTGTGGGAGTGTGCTACATACAGCCACAAGCCAGGCCAAACAACTCAACAGCCATCCTGCTATTATTTACTGATCACAACAGGAATACACAGCACTTGGCTGGCAAACAGAAAAGAGGGCAGCACCCTTAGAACATATTGACTTACATGTGGGCAAATGCTGAACCTCGGGCTGAAGTTAAATTAAATTTAGAAGGGCCCATCTATACTGAAGTCAATTCAAGAAAGAGATCTAGAAGAAATCATGTAAAAGCTGTAGAGTACGCAGCACTCATGTCTGAAACTGCCCTTTTTACATGTTGTCATGTTAACCTGCTTGTACTATCATTTTTAGAATATTTAAGTGTATACAAAATGTCAGTATTAAAAAAATGACAGTACACAAAATACAGTAAGTATTAGATCTTCAGGACAGACTGGACTACCCAGAAGCAGTCCAGTCCTAAGCAGCAGATTCAGCAGGGCTCTGAGCCTCTGATTCTTTCTGAGACCACAGAACTCCAGTTTCCTGAAAGATGTGCCAGAAAAATGGAGTAATGCGGAGAACATCACTGTTACCACATGCCAAGTTCTGCCTGGGAGAGAAGGCAGAGGTAATGCTCATTACTTGCATGCAACGCTATGGTTATGCAATGAGGCTCTTTCTAGACCTGGGCTGGTCTCTCCACACATTGTTGTGTGCCCATACTAGCTTTGGGCCCTCTGCTCATCCCTTCATTGTGTGCTGTTGCTTAATGCTTTGTGCTTTCTCAAGGCCACGAGGATGAGGGGAAAACAGAAAGACAAGAAATGCCACTTTTACTTGCAAAGTGCAATGCTGTCCAAAGCAAAGCTGACTCAAAGTTCTTCCACAAGCCTGTGCAGAACTGAGTTTTGCCACTCAAAAGAGAATAGTCCAGGGCTCCTTCATTTTGACCCCAGGATGGCGTTAAAAGGAAGAAGAGCTGGATCGTACAGGCAAGGGAAGGCCTTCCAGGTGCCCTACCTGCCACAGATGGGCCTGGCTGCATTAGAGGAAACTGGTGCTAGACACTGGCATCCCATCAGGAGCGACTGCTGCCCGTAATGCTTCAGCTGCTTCCCTTAAGAGCAGCAGCAGCCTTTAGCCTAGCTGTCAAAGACTCTGGCACAGGCCTAAAATCAAATTTGTCCCCAAACATACCTTTTTCCATATTGGGACGGATGCTTTTAATGTATTGATGCAGTACATTACAGCTTCAAGGGATTCTGCTCTATGTGGAGAGGAGACTGCAATAATTACACTTGCTTCAGTTATCGGAACCACACTAGGGAGAGAAGAGGAACAACAAGCAGCTTTAGCTAATGCTTAACATCAAGAGCACCCAAAAATTGTGGCCATGTCACGTCAGTATCCTGGCCACACGCTCTCCTGACTCATTCATACTGAGCAAGTGTCAAGCCGTGTCCAAAAGATTATACACTTCTTAAAAGAAAGAAAACCACAACCAAAATTAGTACCAGATGTGAGAATTTCATGCTTCAGAATAAACAAACCCACCAGACATAGGCTTTTTTCTTCCATTCTTTTTTTTTAAATAAAGTCTATGGAATTAAGAGGAGAAAATTGCTAACTTGCAACAATGCATAGGAAACTCACTGGAAGCTGGCTTAATAATGAACAAAACAAGTTAGGAACAGCCAGTTCTTATCTGAAAACCTAAGAAATCATCTCAGTTTTCACAAGAATTTGTGAAAGAAGAAATTAAGTGCCTCAAACAATGCAGATTTTGCAATGAAACCTAATTTTTGACAAATTCTGATTTCAAATTACAAAGTTTTTCCTGTTTGCTGTGTTATTTTCCAAACGTAACGGAAGTAGCACAAGGTTTTGTTTTGCTCCTCACAAGGGTAGTATTCCCAAAAGCTGCCTCCAAACCCTCCCTCTATAGTAAGACTCCTCTGGCAAACAGTTCATAGGAAAAATCTAAGCATACATGCTTTGAGCTGCCCTCAAGAGAATCACTGTCTCTGTTGACTACAGAGGACATCTAAGGAAACTACCCCTCAGAGCTAATAGTACCCTTTGCAATCACCTCCTAAGTTCCTTCTGCTGAGAGAAAAGGAGACAAGCATTTGCAACAGACTCTGCAAATCCTGCTAGTTCCAGTGAGAAATCTGATGAACAGTGAAGGCTCAAAAGTATGTCAGACACTAGTATTCCATGTTTTGAACCCAACAGAAAATGCTTATCCAAGACTCAAGGAACAACAGGAGGTTCTCCAGCAAGCATGGCTGGCAATTACCATGCCTCTCCCCTCCCCATAGTCTAAGCTTTCAGGCTTCCTATGGCATAATTTGACTTAAATCTGACAATAAGAACATTCTGCAGCACCTCAATGGAAGACAGAAGAAAAAAGAAAGTGCTGCCAACTTCACAACTTTAAAAAAAGACCAAACAAACAAACAGCATCCCCTTCCCTGGAATGAAATCTCAATCCTTTCTCCCCACTTTCAAACCATCACACCAGCATCAAGGATCCTGCAAGCTACATGTGGACTCCAGGAAACACTACCAATACACACATTTTTGAAAAGATGATTTCTGAAACTTAGCTCCACAGCGAGACGTTGATCCTGCAGCCAGCTTTGCTGCATTACAGTTTATAGAGACTCCTGCACGTCCTGCAGCTATGTAAGCACAGCCATGCACCAGACAAGGATTAATATTCCACTTGCAAAAGGACGGGGTCTGGCCATACATACCCAAGTCTATGGTGCACTGCAATATGTTTGACTGATGGCCATTTCTGTCTAACATCTCTGCAGATTTTCTTTATTTCAGTCTCTGCCATTGAAGTATATGCTTCGTATTCTAAGTGAATCACTTTTTTCCCTTCAAAATTATTTCTTGTAGTACCTAAACACAAATGATTTATCAAAAGCACTGAATAAGTAAATACGTATTATATATTTATAATATATATATTTATTACATAATAATGTATTATATATAAATACTGAGTAAAATCTCCTGCTATGGTCAAAGTCAGCACTGTGTAAATGCAAATGACCTCCCCTAATCATGGCTGTGTAAAGAGACTCTTTGAACAAGAGAAATCTTGAATAGACAGGGAATTTAGTTTACACATTATACAAGTCTGCAGTCTGTAATGCCCAAGGCTGGGACATCTTCTGTGGCAACTGCTAAGGTGCTATTATTGCATTTGCCCATGCAATGTTTAAGTGCTTAGTATTTAGGAGCCCAGCGGCACTAAGGTTTACGCACAAAGGGGTTTCAAGATCTGTACCATGTACATTAAGGAATAGGACAGAGCTATCAGCCTTGGCCTTCACCAGCCCATGAGTAAAACAGTACTTTACTTTCAACCAAGATCTGAGTTGCAGGAGCTTTCATACAGGTGTGGACCTGTGGTTTGCACAGCTACAACATCCCACTTCCCAGCTTGAACAAGCTGTGTCCAAGGGGATGGGAGAATAGCCCCCAAGCAGTCCAGTACTCCAGAGCTGCTGTTCTGTTCAGCCCTAGGATAGCCACACCAGCAGGGAAGCTTCTCACCACTGTGTCCCAGCGCAACTGTTTAAGAGCTGCCATGGTCTTGTTCTAAACAATTTAGAATGTGTTTTCTAAACATCCTGGGTTCAGTTCAGGAATTTATTTATTTGAGAAGCATGAGTTTCGGGTGCGGACAATCTAGGTTCCATTCATTAGACTATTAACACACCCAGAGATCCAGCTCAGAAATATTAAACTCACCAATGAACAGAGACACTGCCCCACAGTATGGTGAAATGACCAGCTCTGACACTTCATCTACAGAGAGCTTTTCAGACTTGAGCTTGATAAAATCTTTTGGCACATCTTTGCTTTCATCCATAGCTCACCAGGAAAGCTGAAACCAAACAGACTTGTTTTTGGCATTACTAGCATTGGCCAACTGCTTTTTATGCAGTGCTGATGCCCCAACTTACGCAGAAAACATGCACCACCTACTTCCTTACCCCGAGAGACCAGTCTCCATGGCAAATTCACTTCTCAGCAGGCTTGCTGAGAGAGTATGAACTGCAAATATCAAGCAATGACCTGGTTTTTAATGCATACAGGTTCCTTCCTGGTAGGAAAGTCTGGTCCAGTAGGACGAAACTGGAACTAGTCTGAGGCCCCAGTTTAACAGTACAATCAACCAGCATGGACCACTGTGCTAGTAAATCTCTGGTAAGATTGTCAGACCGTCCTCCCTATCTTATCCTGAAATCAAACACAGTTTAAAGCAGAGATTTCTGATAAATACAGATTAGAGTTCTAATCCTAAAGTTTAATATGCTCTCCAGGACATTCAGGACCTTATACTATCGGTCTGTTTCAGTGACACAGGAGACACTTCTAATTTCTCTGAGTAGAAACCAGTCATCTGTTCATCTAAGAATGAGGAGGAAAAGAAGCTGCAGTAAATACATGGACTAGCACTAGAAAGCTTGCAAAGAAATGAAGCTATTCTAAGACACCTGTTCCTTTGACAGAAAAAAAAAAAAAGTTTTTTTTTAAGCAGCACTCAATTCTTTTTCTGTATCATCTTTTCTGTTAAAAAGTGGCAGGAGGTTTTTCATTGTTATCTTATTTAGGCAAGCTGGGTATCTACTGGCAGCCAGAAACAACTACAAAAGAGTAACAAGAACTAAAACCCAAATTCAAAACAATGCCTGACCTCTCTGGCAATTTTTTCCATTTACTGCATACGTGTTAATCATTTACTGGTGCACCAGCTTATAGTTTCTGGTCAGCCCAATGGTTCTTTCCAGCAGGAAACCCAAGTTATGCTTTCTCAAAAGAGTACCGGTGTGGAGGGAGAGAATTGCAATCACATCTGTGGACCTAAACAAAAAGAGATTATTGGAACATTATACAGAATCCGTGAGATATGTTAGCACAGAATGACAGTCCATAGGAAACTAAGCAAGGAGTGATACCTACCTTACAGAACCTGGGCAGATTCAGCCTCCACTAATTGGTGGGATGATGGCAACCTCGTCTCCGGGCTGCAGGACCAGGAGCTGATCTCCAA